CTGAGCTCAAGGCAACCAAATTTCCAGACCATAAAACAAGCCATGTCATTGTTTCAGCAGCCATCTCTTACAACAGGAGACAGGGGGCTCATTGGATATTTGATCACTCATAAAAGTTATAAATTAGAAGATGAATTTATTATCAATGGATCCCTTTACACATAACAGAGACATTATCTCTCTCTTAAGGTTCAGTTTAGTTCATTTTGAAAGAGACAGAATATAGAATCAAGAATATTTATACCAACAAAGATTTTGCTGTTAAATGCTCAAAAATTGTCATTGCCTCTTAAATTTAATTTTCAGTTTGGTAGTAAAGAATGAAGAAGAAACATCTTAAAAGGAAGAAAGCAGGATATGGAAGCTGGTTTTGACCTTGCTTTTTAGTGTACAATTTTCCTTATCTGATTTTTTTTCTCCTCCTGTGGTACTGGGGATTGAACTTGGCCTCACGCATGTTAAGCAAGTACTCTACTGGTGAGCCACATCTCCAGCCTGAGTCTAATCTAAAAAAACAAACAAAAAAAAAAAACATGTTTTTTTACTCTTTTCTCTGTATTTTCTTTTTTAGTTTTTTTTTTTTTTAGATGTTGATGGGCCTTTATTTTATTAATTTATTTATTTATATGTGGTGCTGAGAATTGAACCCAGTGCCTCACACATGCTAGGCAAGCACTGTACCACTGAGCCATCACCCCAGCCCCTCTGTATTTTCTTGATTTAATCTTTTTCATTTTTATTCTTTGTTTTTTATTTCAATCTGAAGATTATTTTTCTATCTTGCCATATATATCTGTGTACAATAAACCCTCTTGTGGATCAAGGCAGGGAAACAACAGAGGAACTGGTGGAATTTCTGCCCTTTCCACCCCCAGTCCTCCTTCCAGGGCAGGTGGAACTCAGGTTACATGAGGGCAGAAGTAGAACTCCTTGTACTTTACCTTCAGGATAACTCTAGGATTCCAAACTTCCCAAAATTCAGACGGGGAAAGAATTTTTTAAAAGGATAAACACTTTTAACCAACCTTTAACCTGGAGACTAGCTATTTGCCAAAATACCTCACCTTGTTGAGCCAATAAATTGAGAGCAGGAGAGAGGGAATACGACTTTCAAGGGGTTAAGGGGCAGGGCTTTCTTGTTTTACAAGCAGGAGGAGGAGGAGGATACCAATATAGTTAGTCAGCATTCATTAATTCTCATTAATGTCTTCCGCTCAACTCCATTCTTCTCTGCACAGCTGTGCAAATATAAATTAATTAGGCCATTTTGACCAAGGCATCCAAGAAAAAAAAATTAATGTGAGGCCAAAGAATTAAATTGAATAAATAACACATTTTTTTGACACGTGGGAAGGATTTTGCAAGCTACCACATCATAGATTGAAAGACATACAGGCATTCCTTGGTAATCATGGAGAATTGGTTCCAAGACTTCCTGAGGATGCCAAAATCTGCAGATATTCAAGTTCCTCATATAAAATGATGTAGTATTTTTATATAACCTATCCATATCCTTCTGTATACTTCAGATCATCTCCGGATTACTTCTAATAAACTAAGATGTTTCAGTTCTATGCAAATAGTTATCATACTATATTATGATAACGACAAGAGAAAAGTCTGTACATGTTCAGAACAGACACAATATTTTTCAAATACTTTCAATCTGTATTTGACAGAACATATAGATGAAGAACCTGCAGACACAGAGGGGTAACTTTTCATTCAAATTCATCCTATTGTAAACATCCCCGAGTAAGATGCCACCAAAGAGCAGAATGAGCTGGGAATGAGACCACCACGAAGCAGGTAGTGAATGGCCTGAGAGAACAGTAGTACTCTCTCTTTGTGGCACTGTGCAGAGAGTAATATTTAACACCCACAATAATATCATTATCTCAGATGGAAGGGCAGTCCCTCTGACAGTTTACATATGTAAATAGGAACAAAGAGGTTAAGCAACCTGCCAGTCAGTGGTAGAGTCAGTCACAATTTGTTTTCAGTGTTTAAAAAATTTTCTTTGGCATTAAACCTATACAAAATAGTGCAGTTCATTTTGACATATTCATAAATGTATATAACATAGTTTCTCCCTTTAAATCCCCAGTACTACCCTTATTCTCCCTGTCCTCCCTTCCCCAATCCCCTTCCTCTACTCTATTGTCTTCCTTCTATTTATTTCTTTATTTGATGCACAATATACATTCAGGTTGACTAGCTCCAGAGACTGCTTCTAACCCTGTCTTTTTCTAGGTACTTGACATTATTCTTGCATTACAGAGAGTAAAAAAGGTAGGGATTGGTTCTTGTCCTTAGCAATTTACAATCTGACTGGTGAACCAGGAAGGACATGCATAAAATAATAAAAAATAGAACAGGAGCACATCATCAGGTATACATCTTTTAGGTGAAGGAGGCAATTCATGAAAGTTGGGGGCACATGGTGTGTATAGCTCATCTGGGCAACACTTGAGAAGGATTTCCACCACATTCTCAATAACAACATGTTGAGAAGACCATACTTGAGATAAAAATGATGGATCCCTGACACGCCATGGTGTGCGTGCTCAGGAAAAACTCTCCATTTCAAAAATCTCCCTTAAGAGGATAGATGGATGGCCAGCCCATCCCCAGCTGCATCTTAAGGATTAATAAAAATGTCCATAGTCCCCCTGAGCTTGATCTCAGATGGGAGGGCAGTTCCTGCAGTCCCTCTAAAAGAGGTGTGGCAACTTCTCTCAGCCTCCAAAGACTAAGGAGGGAGGAGAATTTGCATCACCTCCTCCTCAGTTCAATTCATTGAAAGTTAACCAGTCCAGCGCCTGTGACTGAGGAAAAGGGCAGATTTGAGAGACGGACCATAAAAGACTCAGAAGAAGCAATCACAGGGCTGCAGAGAGGAGAAAACCGGAAGAAAGCACTGGCATGCAATGAATTATCCTGAAATTTAACCAGACTCACAAGCTTCCTTGAGAAATTATGACAAAGGTTCTGAAGGAACCTGTTTCCATTCCCTTTATCATGTTTCCATTTCTTGTGTGCTCTTAACATTCAAGCATACATGTCTACAGAAACCAGCACTTTTGAGCAGGACATTGTGATGCTTTCAGTGGCAATCTCACGGTTGGAAGTGCTGGGCAACTTATAGTACAAAACAGTGCAGGGAGGCCCCTCACAAGCTTCACACCTGTGACTCATGTGGGATCAGGTGAAGAGCCACAGAAGGAAATCCACAGACACTGGCTGGGGTGAGTGGTCATCTGTGCAGAGCAGGCCTACTCCCCAGGCATACTCCCTGCTGTTCCTGAGAGTCCAAGTAGTATCAGGGTCCTTATTTCAGGGCAAATATTCTTAAAATGTCTCAGTCGAAAAGCAAAGTGCTCAGTTTAAACTCCTAGCTAACAGTTCTCAACTCCATAGAACTCATAGAATCACTAAGGGGACTTTTGAAAAATACCCAAGCTGCACCCAAACCCAGCACTTCTGATTCAAAGCGACTGGGAGTGGCCTGGATACTAAGTGTAACATGTAAACGGGGTTTGAATCACCATGTCTAACTCAGCCAAGTCTCAGATAACATAAATATAAATTTATTGCTATTTTCCGATAGCAATAAATTTTGAGAAACTGAATTTTGAGAACAAAATGCCCGGATGGTAATATAATTCTAATTCTGCCATGCACTAGTTAAATGGCACATGACTTCCCAGAGACTTGGTTTCCTCAGCAATGTAATGGGATTAATCACACCAACATCAGAGGGTAGCTGAGATGACTGCATGACTTTGAGCACATAAATAATTTAGCTCAATGCACATGCTAAATGCTCAGTAGATGTCAGGTACCATAATTGATGATGATGGTGATGATCAAAGTACAAATATACCAGTGTTATTTCAATAAAAGGGATGTTTTTTTCTAGACTGGGTATTTAGTCCTCAGGCAAAATTTTAAAGGAACTGTGAAGAACTGGAATATGAAAGTTCTAGAAATTGTTATTTCATTTATATACAGAGAACTGGTGAATGAAGCAAGAGTATTTAGCCAATATAAGAAAAAAGTAAGAAGGTAAATGGTACTGTCTTCAGATGTGAAGATCAGCCAAGAGCGAGATTCTTAATGAGGACAGACTATGGACAGAAATCAGAGCCTGGAGATTTGGATGAGAATTTATAAATGAATCTTTATTAATCTCAAATGGAAATTGAGCATTTCCTTCAATTATGAAAACAGGCAACAAATCTAAATATTGACATTTAGGTGACTTGTAGCCCTAGTTAGCTCAGGACTGAGGGGTTTCCCAGGATGGAGCTTATAGTACTCAAACTGAGAAAGTCCCAAGCAAACCATTCCCTTCTTACATTCATCATTATTTTAAAATTATGGTAGTTACCATATTTCTAGACATCACTATTTAGTGTGTTAATAAGGAAGCACTTAAATTGTCATATCACAATTTTGAAAAATTTATAATCTGATCAACATAATTACAGGCTTTCTATTTCATTTGATGCATTTAAAAGCAGTGTTCTAAGTCCACAGGTCTCATCAGTTTGTCAAAGGTCTGAGACCACAGCAGAAAAATTTAAGAGGGAAGAGACAGGGATCATTGGTTGGAAAAATACAGAAACCCAGATTTAAATTCCTTTACATCTGGAAACCTAAAAACAACAATGAATTACATCATAGAAGGGGACTCAGACATTTATCTCCAAAGATAGCCAATGAATGGAGGCATTTTTCTACTACCAGAAAGCTCCCTAATTCCTCCACTCTTGTGGATACATGAACATGTGTTTTGTTGCTTACTTACAGTGTTACAGAGTTGACTCAATCTTGATAGCTACCAATTGGAGTATCTATTTTCCAACAGCTACAAATGCTCCCACTAAAAATTGTAATTTGACAGACTTAATATTTTTCATGAATTAAGACAATGGAAATTTGGATTTTGAAAAGATCAAGTTTAAAGAAATGATCAAATAAACTTGAATTCTTACCGGAGACCACAGGGCTTCTGACAGACATCGGCCCCCACTGTGCCTTATCTCCACTGTGGGCAGAGGTTTCATGACTTTCCCACAAGGCAGTGAGAGGCCATTTCTTTTCTGGTCAATGTAATTCCAAGCAACCAGTCCAATGTGGCCAGAAGGCAGGGTTCTCATGATTGCTCTCGTCCCCGTATACACAGATTTCTTTACTTCCCTGTCATTTTTGCAAAATCTCCTGACTAACAAAGTGGACCGTTCCTTTTTGCTTTTAAAAAAATCTTCAGTATCTTCACAATTATCAGGGAAATCCTCAAAATGGCTCAAAAAAGTCTTAGTAGGTGCACTTTCAGTGAAATCCCCCCTGCAAATGCTATCACTAGAGCATATCACGTCATCCTTCTGGCCAGAACCCTCAAAGCAAAGGTATTTATGATTCAAGGTGTCCCAATGATCACACTGCAGCTGCCCATTCCTGTTATCACAGTTTTTTGCCAAGTTTACCAGTTTACAAGTATATGCTGTGTAATCTTGCTTTTGCTCCCCCATAGGAAGTGGGATGCAATTTCCACAATCGTCCAAAATTAAGTTTTCTGATAGGGTATGGAAAGCCTCTGACATTCTTCTGTCAACTTCATAATGAAAATTAAATACTGCCATGTTGCTGTCAGGCTGCACTCTGTGGGTCTCGATGGTCTCAGAGTGACTTCCTGAAGGACTAATGCTCATGGGAGGTGTGTCTATTTCCAGTTTAATTCCAGGGAACAGCTTTCTTTCCAGTGGAGAAGGAATTCCAGTTTCCAAACACAGGCCTTCCTCCGTAACAGAGTTGCACGTTTCATAATAGTGGCTCTGAGGCAGGCCACGCTGATGGTTTCGCAGAATGTTGTTGCAGCTAATGTTAAGGTTTTTCACAGAATCTGGCATGCTTTTCTCCCAGCACTTTTCGTTGCTGTTCTCATCACTAAGCATTTTCTCCCTTGCTATGGAGAGAACATTAGGCAAGTGGCTTCCAGAAGATTCTTCTTTAAGTTTGTTCTGTTGTGAGATGGTATAAGAGGTCTGCCCAGCTTGCCTGACAGTATGTGCCTTTGGAATACAGATGTCAGAGTTTTCATTATTTTCATCTAGGGCCGCCTGGGCAGACACCACTTTTTTCTGAGAAACAGGGATAAGAACGGAAGCTGCCATTTCTTCGGAAGTCATCTTGACCAATGCAGTTTTCAGCTACTGCTGTTGCTCCTCCCTGCTGATCATGTCAAGATTTCTAGAAAACGAGTGATTGTTAAAACAATATCAGATCTAAACAAGTGCTTCTGAAAAACGTGATGACTCCTTTCAATTAAGTACATTAAAAGCCAAATAAAATTTCCCAGCTATAATTTCCTATTATGAATATTTTATTCTAGATCAGAGTTTTAACATGGAGATAGATTTTCTTTCCTCTGTTATGTGGAGCAAAAAAATTTAGAAATTTAAAAAATCTGAAGACTTTCATTCAGGATTACATTCTGCAATTTCTGGTCCATCATTAACTTGCAGTGATTTAAAAATTCAGCTTGAATGTTTCCTGTAAGAAAAGAGATAACATCAAACAATGTGGCACTGAGCATGTTTCCAAAACTGAGCTCATAATCCTAAATTAATACAAAATATAGTACAATTTTGATTAAGAAGTTTTGCAATCAAAAGAAAATGTTTAAAAGAAAAAAAATGGGGGGATAGGGTGTTTAAACATTTCAGAACTTCTGCTTCCAGCCAAAATGGAATAATAAGAACCAAATTTATTATCTCGCCTTTGATAACTAAACAAATTGATGTGGGTGAGGCAAAGAACAATGGTTTTCAGACATTGGACAGGAAAAACGGAACAGTGATCTCTGAAAGAAGAAAAAAAAAATGAAGTAAGCCCTATAAAGGCTCGAATTTATTACTTGGAGAGTGTCCAAGCCATAGGGCAGGAAAAGAAACTCAGGCAGAACCCAACAGTGTACCTGAGAAGAAGAGAAAGAGTTCAGACTTCAGGAAGGTCAAGGAAATAAGTAAAGAGGAACAAAAAATAAGAATGACAGCAGACATGTCATCAGAAACAATGCAACCCAGAGGGAAGTGGAGCAAATCTTTTAAAGTACTGAATTTGAAAGAAAAAAAAAGAAACATTGTTAACGGAGAATTCTATACTCAGCAAAAAAATGTGTTCTGCAAATGAAAATGAATAAAAACTTTTGCAGACATACAAAGCTGAAAGAATTCATCACTAGTAGACCTTCACTATAAGAAATGACAAAGACAGGAACTGGGGTTGTGGCTCACTGGTAGAGCGCTTGCCTGGCATGTGTGGGACACTGGGTTCAATTCTCAGCACCATATTAAAAAAATAAATAAAAAGATGAAGGTAATTGTGTCCATCTACAACCCCCAAAACACACACACACACACACACACATATATAAATATACACATACATACATACATATACATATACTATATATATATACACATATATATGTATATGTGTATGTATGTATGTATATATATAGTCAAAGACAGTCCTTTAGGCAGAAGGAAAATGCCAGATAGAAATATGCCTACATGTAAAGTAACAAAGAGTCTGAAATGCTAAGCATGTGGGTAAATACATTTTTTTTCTCATTTTTTAAACAAGACAATTGTGATAGTAACAAGATCATTTACCATTTAAAACAATGAATTGTGGAGTTTATAACAAATATAGAAGTAAAATATATAACCAAACACACAAAGGTCAACAGTGGGGAAATGGGGCTAGACTGTGACAATGTTATTCTCTACATGAATCATTATACTATTAATTAAAGTTAGGCTGTGATAAGTTTGAAGATACATATTCTAAATTGTAAAGCAACCACTTTTTTAAAAGACACAGGTAATGAGAAAAAAATTAGTATCATAAGAAATTTCTATTCATTTTAAAGGTCAGAAAAAGAAGGAAAAGTGAACAAAGAACAGATGAGATGAGACAAATAGGAAACTAAAGGTAGACTTAAATATTTCAAAAAGCTACTTTAGGCAGTATTTCCAGCCCCTCCCTCAAATATAAACATTTAAATTCCCGTTTCTTTTAAATAAGAAACTAATCACCTGAATATCAAAACAATTTCCCTGAATATCAACAGACATTTTATAAACCTTTGATTTTGAAAGGTATTATTCAAAAACTAGTTTATCTCATCTTTATTTTCCCAATACATCACTGGACCCCTTTCTCCATGCTAGGTCCTGTGCTATGGGCTGGAGAGCTAGTACCTGCTAGCAACTCTACTAATAGAGGGAAGATGAAACAATTTCCATTCATCTGAGGAGGTGCAATTATAAAGGACATACAAGGCACTCTGGAACCAGAAGGTGCCCATCACAAGTAGGTACAGCTCTCTCCCAAGGCCGCTCATCAGCAGTCAGACTCTGTGGTCAGTGCCAGCTTGCTTTGCCTTTGCTCTTCACCTCACAGATGTCCTTCTTCTCCTTGTTTTCCTATATTCGCTTTTCCCAAAAAGTTATAACTTCCCCTTATTTTATTACTCACATGTCCCCTCACACAGTCTCTCGCCTGCTCTCAGCATATCGACCACACCCTAGCAATCACCTTCTTCACAGGGTAAAATACAGCCACACAGAGCAGCACATCCTAGCTCAACACCCCAGCCTTTCCCACCTTTTGCATCTTACTTCCAAACTTGGTTTCTTTTTGCTTTTCTTTGGAAAATGCCTCTTTTTTTAATTTTGTAGGTATATGCTCAGTGTAAAAAAAAATCAAACAATGTAGAAAATGACACGGGGAAATGTTTTAAAAGCACTAATCCCACCTTGAGAGAGAACCATTGTTAATATTCCAAGGGTCTTCCTTACAGAACACTCCCATGCATCAATGTGCAAAGATGTATGTATATAATTGCACAAATACCAGTTTATGTTGTACATGTTGTTCTGTAGGTGCTTTTTAAAATTTAAAGTGCATCATAAACAATTTTGCATGTTAAGAATGGTACAGATTGGCTGGGGATATAGCTCAGTGGGTAGAGTGCTTGCCTCACATGCTTGCATGCACAAGGCCCTGGGATCAATCCCTGGCACCACCAAAAAAAAAAAAAAAAAAGGAATGGTACAGATAATTTGAAGGGCTTATTGTGCTAACTTGGGTTTAATATCTTTGCTGTAATTTTTAAAGGACACCTTTTCAGACCCAAACCTTCACATTGACAGTTGATCTGTCCTTTCTCACCCATGAAGTAAGCAATTCAAGGTACGAGAGGCTTAAAATACATGATTATTATCTCATGTAAGTCTCACTCAATCCTATAAGATAGTGTGATAGTCTTTAAATATGTTCATAAATTCTTTGATACTTTTATTTTCAAAAGGTGGAGGCCAATTCCCTTTCCTTTGAATGTGGGTTGTGCCTCCTAACTTCCTTCTAACATAACAGAATGTGGTGGAAGTGACGAGTGTAGGTTCGAGATTGACACCATAAAAGACATTGGGATTTCCTCCTTGCTCTTTCTCTCCTTCTCCCACTTGTTCTCAGGACAAATGCCAAGGACTGAGGACTCCCTCCAACAGCCATCTGAGTGTGCCATCTTGGAAGTGGCTTCCCCAGGCTCAGCCATGGCTTCAGATGATTGTAGGCACCACCTACGTCTTGACTGTAATCTCATGAGAGACATTTAGCCACACAAGCCATTCTCAAATTCTTGAGCCCAGAAACTGTAAGGTAATAAATGAATATTGTTTTAAGCCATAAATTTGGGGTAATTTGTTACATAGCAATAGATAGCAAATACAGATAAAGTTCTGTTATCCACATTGGAAGATTATAAATGAAAGCATAGATAAGTTAGGTCAATTGCCAAAAATTATCCTGGATCTTTGGCTGGAAAATAATGGAGACAGAACTCAAACCCAAGAAGCTTGACTCCAGAAGTTCTTTTGTTAATCACGGACTATGCTGCTTTCTCTTCTATTTAGCCTGAAACCCCATGGGCTTGGTTCTGATGTATGTAAAGGCTCATGGTCATGGGGAAGTGTCTATGATGCCTCACAGATGTCATCACAAGAGACAACCAAGGTTCAGCAGCTCTGTTATATCAGTAACATGATGCTGAATTTACCATTACCAGTGCACACACTCCTTTCCTCACATCGAAATTTTATTTGAGTTTGTCTCTGGAAGGCTGAGGATTATATCCAATCTGCTGAAGCAATGGTCTTTGTTTCACCTCCAGCTGTATTCAGGAATGAGCAACATCACAGAGAGCTGACTCCCTGGAGCACTAGACTTGGCTCCATCTCAGCCCATTCCTTTATTCAACAAATATTTGCTGAGTACAATGTCAAATAAGTCACAAATCTGACCTTTGTTTTCCTTATAACCTAATAAATCACCAGACAATGTACAGTACAAACAGGATTATGATCTGCATTAACACAGAGGAAGAGCACCCATCAGAGGAGATAAGGTGGGAGTGGTTTCTAGAGTGGGTTTCCTGGAGAAGTTGATGATTGAGCTGAGTTTTTAAAGATAAGTCAGAGTTAGCAAGATGAAGACAGGGGGCATACTTTCCATGGAAAAGCAATGTGAACTATCAAACATCCAGACATAGGGTCTGGCACCTCTGGAAAATCTTTTAACCACTTTTGGGTTTGATTTCCTCCCCCATAAAATAGAAATGAAATCATCTATTCCATAAGGCTGTGAAAGAAACACTTTGAAAACTACCAATTCAGGGGAAATGTTTGTTATTCTATGCCTTGTAAATGTCTTCATGAGAGACAACAACCCAGGTTCAGCAGCTCTGCTGTGTCAGTGATGTGGTGTTGAATTTACTGTTGCCAGATACACATCCTTCTCTCCCCAAGTCTACTCAAATTTTAATTTCAGTTCTATACCTAGGATCAGCTCCTGACTCTCAGTGGCATGACCATGAGGGGCTAAATTATTAATCTTGAGTTATACTTTCCACATCTATAATGATATAAAACATTTTATATGTTAGCAGTGGCTAGCTCATTAGTAAATTGTCTGCCTCCTCCCTCAAAGCATATGTGGGCTAAGGAAATGAGAGAACAAGAGGGGACTGTCAAAGTAGCAAGTCCAAGCCACAGATTTATTGTAATATATATATATGATATATATGAATGTGATATGTATGACATACATATATATTTTTATATATGTGTGTGTGTGTATATATATATATATATATATATATATATATATATATATTCATATATCATACATATATTAATGACTAGGGAAATGAAAGACCATAAAGTACAGCTAGAGCTATGGACATTCAGGAGATGCTTAGAAATCCTAGACAAAGCAGTAAGGTAAGAAAAAAAAAATAAAAAGCATAAGAAAAATCAAGAGTGACATACAGGAAGCTTTCACCTTCAGGAGAAATACCACTCAAGAATAATGCTGTTGATGGATTCTCATGAGTTAAATCAAGGGCTGGCAAACTATAACCTAAGCCCAAAGCTGGCCTGCCACTTCAATTTTTGTATATAAAAATTTATTGGAACACAGCCACA